CATTGAAAGGCACTGTTTGGAGAAAAGAAAGGAAGATCAGGAAGTTGTTTGTTTTGCTTGTGGAATGATGGGGCACAAGACAAGACAGTGTCACTTTTCACACAAAAGAAAGATGGGCTATCGTGGTTTGTTTAAGAAAATAGTCAATTTAGAAACCCAGTTGGCACTGTTGAAAGGAAATAAAGAAGAAGCGATTCACACCTTGTCAAACATATCACTGCACGAGCAACATGACTGTAGCTCAGTCACAAGCAGATGCTGATGCAAATTAGAATTAGTTTTATGATAGTAACACATTTTAGAAAAAGGTTTACTATCAAAAGGGGGGTGATTCTTTATGATTTATGAAACATGTTTTATTAGCATTGATATGTAGTTGTAATTTTAATAAATGTTTTAATGGCATTATGCTTAGAAATTATTTTTTAAGAACATTACCAATGTTTGATGTTTTGAGATGAAAATTCTGTGACTTTCATGTTTGAATGTGAAAAGATGAATGTGGGGGAAAGGGGGGCAACCTCTTCTTTTGATCATTGTTTCAGATATAAGCATCGAGATGTTTGTCTGAAATGTGTAACCTCCTGGAGAAAGATGATATGGTCGTTTGAAGGACGAGAAGGAAGTAGAACCAGTGGAGCCAGGGGATTTTCTCAAGAAAAAGAACAGAATACAGAGATTTACAGATATGCAAGACCCTGAGACCCACCATGGGATGGATGGAACTGATGAAGAGGCACAGACTCGAACAACACCAGTGACTGCTTCTTCTAGAAAGACTTATGTTCCAAGTTGAAAAGAATGGACAATGAGAAGAGAAATAAGAGGAGATTTCAGAAACAAACCATTGCAGAGACTACGGACAGCAGTCTTTCCACATAGAGGAAAAACAAGTGGATAAAGGATGTCCACACTGAGAAAATGGACACAAAACACATGACAAAATGAAAAACCACACACACACACACACACACACACACACACACACACACACACACACACACACACACACACACACACACACACACACACACACACACACACACACACACACACACACACGCGCACACACACACACACACACACACAATTATACTGTCTATTGATTGTTTGAGTTATGCAAATAACAAATGCATGACCTTTAAAACTGCTGTTTGTGTATCATTTTTATAATCGGTCAGTGCATTATGTTATGCTGTACGTGTTCCATGTTGAAACGTCAGATTGAAGATAATTCTATGATCAATATTGGACATTCCCGTTGGATGTGATGGTTCTTGATTACCTCTTTCAAACCCTAAAAAAATAAAAATAAAAAAAATAATAATTTTTTAACAACGCAAACTATGATAATTCTGCTCAAGTGAAGTAGAGCTGAAACCAGTGTGCATGAGGTGTCGACCCAACGACGGGTTAGATTCTCCGATGGCCATTGGGGGACAACCTAAGCCAGGGCTTCACCGCCACTGGGCACCTGCCCACCAGGGAAGGGAGGTGTTATCTATGAAAAGGGAGTGGATGTGATGCTTCTTATGGGCCAAGAGCATCAAAGGGGGGACTGTAAGAAATTATAGTCTGCTCCGATCCAACTTCCACTCTAATATATATATGTAAATGTTCCTTCACTAAAAGAGCTTATTTATCATAGAGACAATTCATTCCAATCTCAGTAATATGCACAGTCACGGTTATCACCTATAGCATGGGAGCGACAGCAGGCAATCAAGAACCATATTGATTACAGGGACTTAAAATAAAAGTTATCACCTTAACATTTGACCGTTCTACATTGAAGTGATGTACATTGTGTTTTGCACTTTGGAGTTGTGATGATGATGTCACCTGTTAAGCATGAGAGTTCTGCCAGTCCTGTTCTCCCTATTGTAAGTTAAAAGAATCAGTTGGGCTGATTGGATTATCATCAAGATGGGAATGAGACTGTTATGTTGATGAGATCAGGACTGGGGAAATGGGCTGACTCTTGTACTTCATTTACATGCTGAGGGGGAAGACGAATGGAATACAGTATAAAATGTTTGAGCTGAGATTATTTCGGGGTTCATTTGGACGCCGGTGAACCCAAGGTGCTCCGGGTATCTTGCCACTGCTATGCTGTAATGAACTTAATTTTTGAGATCTTCGACGTCCACATCATTTTTTCTTACAGTCCCTACTAAATTCTACGCCCCTGCTCATTAGCAATCGAGACCTGCTTTATACCACAGTCATATAGGTGTGTTCACGCCATGTCGTAGTTCCCTTAATAAAAAATTTCAACTTGTGAATTTAGGCATTAATAGTGTTACCATAGAAATGCATAATTCCCTGTCAGAGTAGTATGTCACGTTTTGTCATATCGAAATTACGGCATGGCGTGAACACACCAAATAGGCCTTGTGTTTCTCTTGTTGCTTTGTCAGTTTTTGATTGTAATGGTTTCATGTTTGCTAGTGTTCATTCCTTTGTTTCACTGTGTTCTAGGTTATTTTTTTTTTTTTTTTTTTATAAACCCCCCTGCAGTTAGATCCTGGCCTCTCCCTGCCTTCTCTTGCTCCCACACATTAAAATAGATAATTGGCTGAATGAATTAGTCAGTAGGCCGTGTATTATTTTAATATTAATATACTGTATGTTACAGTTTTCTTTGTATATATATTTTTTTACAATCGCTAGAAGGTATTTCTCAATACTTAGGTAACTTTTTCAAAACTCTACACACACAGCTGTCATAACCAACTTTAAACTATATAGCAGTTAATTTCACATTCAAAACACACTACAACCAAAACACTTCATACATGTTACGAAATATCAGTTGTGTTGGTTCATTTTCACGGACTTTTAGTTTGTATTCATCAGTCACGTGTTCCTTTGTTTCCCGCCACTGATCAGTTTCCATGGACACTAATCTTCATCACAGCTGTTTGTCATTTAGTTAATCACCATGTGTATTTAAGGCTACGTTCACACTGCAGGTTGAAACAACCCAATTCTTTTCTTTTCATGACAGTCTGAACGACACATATCCGATCTTTTCAAAGGCGACCCAGGCCACTTGGGTATGTGGTCCAAATCCGATATGTATCCGATCTTTTGAAATGCGACTTCAATCTGAACGGCCAGGTCACATGTATCCGACCCGCACGTCATTGATATGCGACAAACGTCATAATTCTGCGTTGAAGTAGGCGGGAATGAGAAGATTGTAATTGTGCTGGCTCTGTTGGGAAAATAACTTTAATATTGCTAAACGAGCTCCACTGTTGACATCCATGTTTAGCTACTTCCGCAAACAACAAGTGACGCCGTTGACCATTGAGTACTCTTCTGCGCATACGGGTCACTTCTGGGTCATTTCACGTTCACGTTCACACAGGAGATCACAAAAGGTCGCATTTAATTGGAAATGTGAACGGCCTTGCAAAAAAATCCAAATTTTTCAAAAAATCGGAATTGAGCATTAAGCCCCTACAGTGTGAACTAAGTTACTCACCTTCACTCAGTGTTTGTCCGGTCTCTTTTGCGTTAGTAAATGTGTTCCTACAGACCTTGATATTTTGCCTGTTGGATTATTATTAAACCCTGCATTTGAACTTTATCCTGATCTTCATCTGTGTGTCTGAAACCTTGCTAACAATTAATCAACTCATTCTTACATAACACTATCAAGGGTTGTCACCCAACAATCTCACTTTTTCACTCATAAAACAATGACATGAAAACACCAACATTATACAATGTTTGCTTTTGTAAAGCTTCTTTACAAAATAAGAATGACAGTTCACTATTTTTTCTAATTCACGGCAGTATATGTTGCATGTACTTGTGTAGGTGTTCAGCTACAGTACATCTAGTTGTTTTGATTTGATATTATTTTTTTTTAGATTTGGAATATATTTTATAATGGTATTACTGTAGAAATGTGGCAAATTGCTGTCTTATTCAATTTTGCAATATGTTAGGTTTTGAACTTACAGTTTTGACGAGAGTATGTAAACGTGCAAACTGGCCTGTAGGTACAACCTACTGGCCTGTTTGTGTCTAAGTGAGGAATGTATTCATGCAATTTGAAAGATGTCATCATTGAATGCATTTTGTGCCAAAGCAATGATAAATGATCCATAGTTTAGCCCACAGACTGATGTTGTGTTCACTGTGACTGATCTCATGAAATGGCGTATGTATGACACGCCAATTCGTATTTCCATTTTTGGCGTGCTATCAACACGCATAATCGCTTTTCAGCGTGTTTATCAACGCCTTTGACTTAACGTTATATTACTGTATTATGCATATATAAATATATGACCTACCCCAACCCCGTCCCTAAACCTACCCGTCACTGGGGTTAATACCATTTATGAGTGTTCTCCTACCATCCTAGGAAAAGAAATATCGCTCCACAGATGTAGATATAGATTTTGCTTCGTTTCGCTCGGACATTTAACGGCGTACACATACACGCGGAATCACTCGGACATTTAATGGCGTAGACATACACGCAAAAGATTTCGGCGTGGACATACACGCGGATAGCTCAAAATGCGTATAAATAACACGCCACTTGAATTGAAAGTGGCGTGTATGTTTACGCAAAGTCATGATGTCATGTTGTCACTGTGTGAAGAGTTTTGAAAAAGAAACCTAAGTACTGAGAAATGTATTCTAGCGATTGTTAAAAAAAACTGTAAAATATCCTAATTTTGACATTAATTTGTTTAGGACTATTTGGTTATATACCTTTTGATATACTGTAATCAATCATTCTCTGTTAATTTTTCCCTTTCTTGAAAAATATATATTTTTTCCTTTTGCTGTCAGAACATTGCAATAATATTATTTAATGTGAAAAAGGTCAGTTGGGTCATAAAAAGAACACATATTACTCAGTTACTAATTTGTCTATTGGTAGGATACACCCCCTCCATATATATGCTGATTTTGACCCTGCTGAGAATCTAAAACTAGAGAAATTATCTGTAAAAAAATATATTAGACACCTTCTCGCACACTCGGCTAAGCTCCACGGCAATGTCTCCACTAGAATTCCCAATCCCAACAATCACAACTCTCTTCCCAAAGTAAGGATCAGGGTCCTTATATTCCCAACTGTGATTTACTGTCCCAGGGAATGTATCAATACCTGTAGTAGACAAAATTACAGTAAATGTTATACTGTTACAATTTATTTCAATTGTTCGGTATTTTACACTTAAAGCCCTGTAAACTTTAGTTTACAAAGACGTGAAACTCACCGAGTGGTCTGGGGTGTTCACTGATATGCTCACACATATGGGGTGCTACCACAGAAACCGAAAATTCGCGGGCCAGCAGCATGTGTCCAAATTTCAATCTTAACCGTTCTATTTCATCAGAAACGATCTTAAAACAGGGCTTTAAGTGTAAAACACCGAACTTGTCCTTTAAGTAGACAGTGTACTAATAGTCTAATGACTGGTAGTTGACATGTAGATGCAAAGTTACTTATAGTTAGCTAGTAGAATGTCTAAAGTGGACCATTGAAATAAAGTGTTGCCCAATATACTGATGCTTCTATATACATATTAGAGCCATACCGGGAATTAGTATTACACATAGTTCTGAATGCTGCATAGTAAAGCCATTTTAACATTCTGTTGTCTTATGGCCAGATCACCTGGGAAGTGTGTGAGGGGTTTGATGGGTTGTGTGTAGTGTCCTGCGCACACAAGCACCCCGTCAAACACATGTTTCTCCTCTTGTCCATCTTTGTCTGCGGTCACTACCTCCCACTGACCCGAGTCAGAAAAATCAGGCCTCTGCCTCACTCTGCGAACTGTGGTCTGAAACACACCAAACCACGTAGAGCTTAAACGCTACATTTCATCTTTATAAGAGGAATAATTCTTATAAACAAACTCATACACACACTTACAATAATGTGAGAAGTAGGATGTTCTCATCCCAAGGCGTCATATACTGACGCTTTTGCCAAAGCGTCTAACGCACATGGCACCCTTTAGCGTCAATATGAGACGCAGATATATGGCGCCTCCTAGTGGTCTAACCCTAACACTACCCCAGACCTAAACCTACCCATAACCGAAGCGTGTTATATTGACGCTAAAGGGTACCATGTGCGTCGGATGTAGACGCTTTGGCAAAAGCGCCAGTATATGACGCCTTGGGATGAGAATGCGTTGGTCCTATATGACCAATATGGATGGAAAAATATATTTCTTGGAGAAATCTCAGTGGATGCGGTGTCATTGTGTTAACTACCTGGAAGTGAATGTGCTTAAGCAGATTGAAGTGCTCAGCATAGAGTTTGAAGTACTGCAGGATCAGAGAGTTGTGCATGAAGTTTGGGTAATGATCCGGCACAGGGAAATCACTGTAGCACATCATCTCTTTAGAGGTGTTCACTGTGAGAGAACGATAAATGCTGCAACGTTCTGCCTCAGGTTTTTCCTGTGAATGAACAGAGGGACAAAGATTTTAACAGATTGATTAGAACAGATATTTTTTATACAAAAAATAAATAAATCACTAGCAGCTTTGAAATTTTTTGTATTAAAGGTGAAGTGTGTAATATAGATTTTAATGTAAAAATACTGCCTCCTATCCCATCTTAAAATGCATAACTTTATTTTTGCTTTCAAAAGTGTAAACAAAACTGTCTCATCCAATATTGTAAGTTTGGGGCGGGGCTATCTGTTTGTTGACCAATGGCAGTGTTTGGGAAACCTGTTAAAAACATATCATCATTAATAATAATAATAATAATGACAATATTAAGTTAATAAAATGCATGTCAAACAGGTCAGAGCATAAAAATATTTAGAAAAACATCTAAATCTAAAACATCAACAAAAATGACAATGAAAATCAATTAAAATGGTGCAACAATAACAATGAATATAATCATTATTGAATGGGCACTTCCGTTCCAAAGTTTGGGTTCAGTCAGACTTTTTTAAAAATAAATCATTACTTCTCTTCATCAGGGATGCATTAAAGGTGCAGTGTGTGATTTTTAGCGACATCTAGCGGTTCGGTTGCGAGTTTGCACTAAGGGCTCAGCCCACTGCTCACCCCTCCCTTTCGAAGAAGCTACGGTGGCTAAAACGGGACAAACATCGTCGTCTGAGACAGCAGAGAATAGCCAGCGTAAACCAAGTTTCTGTACTACAGTCCATTATAAACCACATCATGGATAGAGTTTACAAAGCCATAGTCAGGTGAGGATGAAGGGTCTTAATACATAATATAATAATAGTAATCAGCTGATTGTCTCACAAACGTAACCAGCACATTTCTCCCCACATAGCAAACCCATAATACAGCGAGGGAGAAGAACCACATGAAACTATGCAACTATATATTTTTTCTAACAGGGTAGTAAAAGTTTAGCTGGCTAATATGAGCTGTTACTGTGGCTGAGCTGGTTAAAGCGTTAAGCCTTGTTTATACTGGACGCTTCCGCATGAGCCCAAAGGTGCGCGCGGCAAAAATGACGTGATTGTAACAGTGTGCGCGCCTCCGCATCCCCTAGACACCACTTACCACACACAATAGGCTTTTTTTCTCTGATTTTGGAAACTCGATCGACTTAAAATGCTTCCAAGATCGACTTGTCGACCGCGATCGACGGGTTGGTGATTCATGTTACTGTTTTACGGTTAATGACAAGAGTAGCCTACTAATCAGCTGTCTCACGAACGTAACCAGCACATTTACCCCCACATAGCAAAGCCATAACACAGCGAGGGAGAAGAACTAAGTTAAATAAAACAACACAACTACATATTTTAGTTGGATTACACACTGACAAGGGAAAAGTCACTACTCACGGTGTCTATGGCTAGCTTCTAGCTTTCTGCGGCTTCTCTTTCAATGTAGTGACGAAACGCGGTCTGTAGCGCTGTTTGTTTGCTGTCGGCAACGGTAGAAACATGACGTCACAATATGTCGACCTTCATAGAAGGGGGTGCCCGCGGTTATGTAGATATAAATCCCTTTTTCTAAGGTAATAAAACATTACGGTTTATGAAGTAAGTTCTTTATACACCACTGAACACATAGTTATGGATGTCATATTGCATTTCTGTTAATAGATACTCAAAATTTTTACACATTGCGCCTTAAAATTTATTAAAGTAACAGTAACGTCATTTATAATGTCAGAAAAATTATACTTCAAATAAATGCTGTTCTTTTGAACTTTCTATTCATAAGAATCCTGAAACAATGTATCACAGTTTCGACAAAAATATTAAGCAGTACAACAACTAAGGAATACAATGTTAAAATATATTCAAATAGAAAACAATTGTAAAAAATATTTCATTATATTACTATTTTTACCGTATTTTGATCAAATAAATGCAGCCTTGGTGAGCATGAGAGACTTCTTTCAAAAACTTTACCGAATGACCCCAAACTTTTGAATGGTAGTGTACTAAACAATACTGCTTTAATTATTAAGGCATGAGCTAATGGCAGTGGCACCTGATCTTGTATTATTTAGATTATAGTGTGCTAAAAATCATTATAGTCAATTACCATTACATCAGTCATTGTTTTTCGTGTGGTACCACAGGTGGCACAGATAGGACACTCTTCACCTTCATTGTTAAGCTATTTAAATTTTAGACATTAAATGTTTAAAATTGAGTTTAATTTCAACCTTAAACCTCCAGAGTCCTCCAATGCCATCACTGCTCTCAAAACACACAGGCTCCAGCCCTTCATCCAGACAGCATTTGATGGAGGTCAGCCCAGAGCTTCCTGCTCCAATCACAGCAACACGCTTAGCCATGCTGTCAGTCTGCATGAAAAGCACATGGTCATGTGAAAATGCAGTTATTAAAAAGGACACGCTATTACACTATAGTGTCTATACGTCATTTGTGATATGCATATTTAATAAGGTATTCCAAGAATCATTAAAAATGTTTGGCATGGATGTGCTGCATTCATTGGTTAATCATTAAGAAAAATATCACATGCCAGCAGATGATGACACAAAGACAGACACCAGTCATGCTGTAAGCTGGACAATTATGACACAAAATAAATCTTACCTTTTAACTGAAGATGGTCTCAAGCCCTTAGAGTTCAAAAATGCCACAACAATGTTTTTCTGTTCCTAATAGTTAGAGCAGCTTTGCATGCAACCGTCTCATTGAAATCAGCCTGTTATGTGACCAATTGAGCGCATCTCAAGTCTCAAAGAGGAGGGTGGTCTCAGCTGGCACTAGTTTAAGGTGGATCAAACTGGAATGAATAATTAAGGGGGGAAAAAAAACTCAACAACAAAGTAGGTTATATGTTGAGGACTATCAAGAATGTTCAGTCATTTCTCATTATCACAGACGTGCAAGTCCTTATCTTTTGGGTGTTGTCATAAATCTTATCATAAAACAAAGATGAGTTCAATGGTTTTCGCAATAGTCTAAAGCTTAATAAAACTAATGTAAGGCTGGAAGCTTACACTGCTATTTTGATCCAATAATCGGAACAAAAGTAGAATGAAACAACATACTGTATAGAAAACTTAGTTGTAACAAATAATGCACTGTTGTGCAAACGAGGCCGGAAAAGCCTTTCTCATAGGTTACACACGGGTGTGCGGGAGTGGCGGGGTTAAAGCCTTTCTCCCAGATCAACAGTTACCTTTCCTTCTTATACCCTGAGCAAAGCATTGTTAAACATTAGTGAAATACCAACACCGAAACCGACCGACTGGAAACCAAAAGATGAGGCAAATGGTTGGTGATCAAGGGGGGGAGAAGAACATTAACATATTCTCCTCAATGCAAGTTTAACCAATTAGGATTGTACATTAGGATACTTTAATATCTCTATTAAGTTCACCACCATTAAGTTCAGTTTATAAGCTGTCAGATGAGACCAAACATGGCATAGTTACATATTAGAACACAATAGTAAATGAACAGTATAGTTGAAAGCATATGTCATGTGAAGTAAATACAGGTGTGTCATTGAGGTGCAAATGACTCTGTCTCTCCCAACAGAACCATCCTGTGCCTGGAGTGTCCCAACAGCAACAGTCCTCAATCAGGATATTGATTAAATCCCTTGCACTAGATATAGGCATTAGCATACTGTGATGATGAAGGCCACTGTGCCACGTTTAATTCACATGTATACATTTAAAAGGATTTCTGGTCTCCTATATTAAAATATCAATAAAATACATATCTTTTTTACACTTTTCCAAAATTTTGGGAAATAATGAAATGCATCACATGTTTCACTCACATGAGAACCTGAACTAAAGCTGAAATTCCATGACAAATAAGTTTAAAGGCTTTTAGAGGATGGGGTGAAATATGTAAAGGTTAACCCTTTATATGACTTAAGCCTTAAGGCCCATTCACACCAACAACAAAGATAACTGTATATCGATATGAGTGTCCAAACCAGAGGACGATATCGCTCTATTTATAGGCGTGTGCTTGTGCTTGTCACTTAAAATGCTCACGCTTGTTATTGATTCTGATTGGCTGTCAATGTTTTTTTCATTCATCAGCTAAAAAAAAAGGCGTTCTGTGATTCCAATGAAATCGTTTCACTGTGCAGTTATCGTTATAGCCGTAGTGTGAACTTTGCTATTCTTTAATACTGAGAACGATTTTTAGAACTATATCTTTTTCGTTATGTTTATAGTTATCCTTGGAGTGAACAGGCCTTTATTCTCATGACTTTTTGGCAGAAATCAGTGTTTAAGATTGAAAATCAGCTGTATGCCAACTGACTTTTTTTTCAATAAAAGTCTGGAACATAATATGAATTCAAGATACAATTGACAACACATTCTCATCCTTTGGCGTCATATAGGTGACACCATATGACATTTCGTCGAAATCTTACGCACATGGCATCCTTTAGCCAGGGGCGGACTTAACCATTAGGCAAAGGTCGGCAATTGCCTTGGGCCCCGAGCTACCTAGGGGCCCCAAAATGCCCCATTAAATTATGCTTAAGTTTTGTTTTATTTTTTTACTTTTCGCAAATTATATATTTCTAAAAAACATTTGTGAAAAAAGGCATCAAATCATTAGTGTCGCAGAAAGAAGGGGGGCCCCCCACCTCACCTCACTACATTGGACTATTCCATTATCTCACTTTCTGCGTGCGAAAGTGACAAGGCTGTAATGCGCCAAAAAACTGACGGAGAAAAAGAAGTGATTAACAGACGGTGTACAGAGTGACAGACAGAGTAAAAATGAAGCGAAGCTACCCAAGCGGTGCTGAAAAAGCAGGAAGCGGGAGGAAAGCAAAACGTTTTTAGCAAAATTGCAGAAGGTAACGAACTTTTTTGTGATGCCCGCTGACAATGACAACAATGCTAACGATATGTTACAAGTCCATGGCCGTAGCCAGCTATGAGGTCACCGAGGTCCGGACCTCTGTCATTTTTTTACATTAAAAAAATAAAATGTCAAGCTCTCTGAATGATTAATCAGCCGTTTAAACCACCTCATATGAGTGTTTGCAATTCATGTTGCTGCGAGAAGCTAGCGCAGTGAACGGGGCTTGAGAGCGCGTTGTGAGTGAGGGCGCGGGTGCAGCCTCCGTGTTGCCAGATCCACCTAATGGAAAGGTGGCAGTAGTCTTCTGGACCGGTTTTTCTGATTTAATGTGACACTTTAGGAAGTTATTAAAGTGGAAAGTTGCATGTTAGGGTTAGTGATATATTAATCTTATTTCCAAAACACAAGCTTTGAACTTATTTCGGATTATTATTATTAATTTGTTTTGTTTTTCTTGTTTTTCGTAGCAATATCTGGCAACATTTTACTGTCGGCATTAATAAAAAAAAGCTTATAGACAAACTGTAATTGCATAAAGCTACCACATTCGGTAAGAAAGACAAACGCAATGATCATCGTGATTATCTGTAAGAAATGTATAACACTATCAAAAACTATAGCATAATACAGATCTGTATGAATGAAATTTGCCAAATAACTTACTGGCCAGCAGGAAGACGGCTCATGCTGTTTAGTTAACCTTTCACAAAGTCATCATAAAAACATTAATTAAAGCAGTGTTTCTCAACTAGCAATCTATTCAGTCAGCATATTTGTGTTTTGATCTGTGTGAATTACAGAAATATAAGACTTGCTAGACCTACTTTTTTTCTATATTTCTTTGCACAAAACTCTCCAGAAAGTGCCATTTAATGGTTTATTTTTCAATTTTTTGTTTTACTTTTTTCGTTCTCTTTTAAAGATCGGATGGGGGGCCCCATACTACCTTCGCCTTGGGCCCCCAATTTGCTAAATCCGCCACTGCCTTTAGCGTCAATATAACACGCACTGTTATGGGTAGGTTTAGGTCTGGGGTAGGGTACGGTTATGACGCCTTGGGATCTGCGTCTCATATTGACGCTAAAGGATGCCATGTGCGTCGGATTTAGACGAAATGTCAAAAGCGTCACATGTATGACGCCTTGGGATGAGAACGGGCTGCAATTGATTAGGGCCCTTGAATGAAATACAGACTTAGATCTACTTTTCTAAATGTCTCAAATGCTCTTTCATGCCATATGCATTTGTGTAAGCTAAAAGTTGTGGTAAATGTGTACATTACTGAAAAGTATTAAGAGCTAGAGAAGATATGTTAAGTACAGCTATAATGTAACATTCAAGGAAGTTGCCTCAGTTCCCTTTCGGAGTGTAACTTCAACGCTCTAAACTATGGGGAACGCCATCAGCGTGACCGGTATCTGAGGCACATGTAAACAAATGCCAATAATCATTGGCTGGCAGCAGTGCAAGATGTCACACGCGGAGTGCCCGTGTGTATAAAAGGGCGTCAGAATTACACGTCCTCAGCTTTTTCGTCTTCAGGAGCAGCTTGTTTATGGTAGGGATGGGCGATACCACTTATTTTGTTTTCGATACGATACCGATACTTTCAAGGCCAGTATCGCAGATACCGATACTTCTAAACTGAACTTTTAAATTTGGAAATTTCTTAAATTATTGAATTACTTGAATTACATTATATTTTAAAGGCATTTTAACATTCAATATGCCTTAATTGGAATGTATTAGATTATATTTTTATTTACACGTGGTTACAATGTTTACTTGTAGTGGTAACCATGGAAATCTACAAAATATTATAGGCCTAGTTGAACTATGATCACTGTAATGTTAATTTTCATAAGGGACTGCCAGTGACCTGCTGTTGCACCCATAAAATGCAACCTTTTTATTCTGACAGTGTATGATTTATATTCAAATTTACATAATAGAACTATGAACTTTTAACATTCAAAAAAATTATTTATTTGCACAAACTATGTAGGCTACAATTTAAATTAGTATATTGTGAAATAGCTCAAACATATGATGTTTTCCTGTCTTCTGATAAGCATTGTTCTGAGCTGCGTTTCCCAAAAGCATCAGTGGTTTCTTGTGATACTTTTGGGAAACGCAGCCCTGTTTGAATGCATTGTCGGCAGTGTGTGAACGCTCTCTGTGATTGATTGCTTTTGACTTGCAGCATTTGCGTGTGTTCAGATAAGCAGGAAAATAGTTATACTACACAATTATTTACTAAACAGGTTATTCATCCAATTCAATGCATATTGTACAGATTAAACGTATTGTCAAATAAAGAAAACCCCCGGTAAAAAAAAACAACCCCTCTAGTATCGATATTTATTTGAGTATCGATACTTTCGATACTCGACATCAGTATCGATATATCCATACGCCCATCCCTAGTTTATGTACATGTAAGATAAGAGTCTGTTGGAGTGTGTTCAACTCTCGAGGGAGCTGGATGCCCTCATTACGTTGCATTTCGCAGTAAGAAGCTCTGTTCTTGCCTGATTTTCTGCAAAGAGATAGCAAAATCTAGCATTTGCACAGAGTGTGTTCAGCTCTCGAAAGAGAGTTGGATGCACTCATGGTGACGCATTCACAGTAAGAGGCTCTGTTATTGCTTGATTCTCTCTAGAGAGATAAGAATCTAGAGTTTGCACGAAGCGCATTTGGCTCTTGAGGTAGCTGAATGCACTCATTGAGATCTATTTGCTGCTCCACCCATGCTTCACTCTCTCTTGTCTTGAGGGATGAGAGCCGAGCATCTACACCTCTCGGTTCAGGTCCTCAAACCACTCTAGGGCCATTAAAATGGAGAAGAAGCTCCCCTGTGGTATATGCTGCTCCCTAAGAGCCTTGTCAAATACTGGTGAGATATGCCTGACATAGCTGAGGCATATTTTCCCCTTAGAGCTCTGCTTTTGGGACCATATAGGGTTGAGGCCTGTTCTGCATGGGAGGGAGG